CCCCAAAACCCCAAAACCCCAAAACCCCTAGATACTGAATTCACACTATTTCGACAGAGTATAGTAAAATATCAAAAATTATCCTTGTATATAAGACAATAATACTATGGAAAGTTCTTAAAAGATTGATCAACCAGAAGATTGCGAAATCGACGTAGAAATGATAATGAAAGAGTTTAATTTGAGAAATGATAAAACATTAGACCTCTATTAAGATTCTCTTGAACTATAAGAATAATCCCTAAGTGAAACTAAAACAAAATTTAGACTAGCTAAAAATTTTGAACAGCAATCTACTCGACGTGAACTTATTGAATAATCAATATTCAAGTCAAAGTCAGAGCTTATTGATTATTACGAGTATGAAGAAAATATGAGTAAATCTAACGATAGTCTTTTTAAATAAGACTAAGAGATAATATCTGCCGAAGAATCTGAGTTGTTAAGAGATTTTGTGAGATCCTAGGAGCAGAAGTTCAAAGATGACCCCTTTAATAATGAAAAAATCATTCCTTCTGATTGCTATGTTAAATTTGACACAGCAAAATTTTTCAAGATGCTAATATACCACTTGCTCTACTTTCAAATAGCTGGTCCTTTCGTTGTAGTCCCCCTTATAATGATGGTTGATGGAAGGAAATTACTTACTAATATGGGGTTTTGGGGTTTTACTCGGACACATCTTTCAAATTTGATCCTTGCTACCTGCATGCAACTCGGCTTAATCACTTTTATTGTGAGTGAAAAATCCGGAACATTAAATTATGTGGAACTATTTGCAGCTGAACTTACAATGCTAATAAAAACTTTCTTAACCTCAATAAGGTACGCTACTCATTCCAAGTCAAGAAAGTATATGTACAGAAATTAATATTTGACGAGACATGAATTAATTCAAGATTTTGTGGAGTAAGCCTGGAGTGAGCTTAAACCTGACATTGTTGATCGAGAAATCAAGAATTCTATGATAATTAATGAAATTGAGAATTTATCATTTGGATGCCAGTTTTTAAGTAAAATGAGAGATCATTTCAAAGACGCCATTTGTGATTATTAATACTATGAAAAGAATAATTACGATACTTAAAAATTATAGATAGTACTGAGGAAAACTAAAGAAATATTCAATCATCAATCAAATTAAGATTTGACTTTTACCAGCGCAGTGTCAAGTAAATTAAAAACTAAAAAAGCAATAATATTCCCTCAAAAATAAAATGCTACTGATGAAATAGAAAATACTGTATTAATTAGAAATTCAATTGAAGAAGTAGACGACTAGAAATTACTGACAAGATACTCGGCTCGAACTTTTATGAGAGAATAATTTCTCACATCATAGGTACTGCTTCCACCTCGGTAAAAATCACTCGGAATCGTACTTTCGATTATTCATGGACTCCTCTCTTTTAGTATGGTTTTTAGCACTGACTACAAAAATGAAACAAATGAGGAAATTTGGTATCATAGATATATTCATACTGACTTTTGGGTGTACACAATTTCCCTATTTTACATAAACAGCTTTATATTTTACAAAAATATAGTATTCATGGATGTTGCTTTAATTGATTTTGGAAGAACTTATATTGTAATGCAACTGATGAACGTGCTTTTGGAACCTAATAGACAAAAGCTTAATAATATCACTAGAAACTTCCCTATTATTAATTTCTTTGACAAAAGGTCAATGCTTTGCTGGTTAGACCTCAAATTACTTCTAGAGAATTTTGGGTTAAGATATAGAGTCAGAATTTAAATTAATCTGGCTCTCTATATAGTGACATATTTTAGTCTAGGAGCTTTATACTTATGTTACTTCTTTGGATTTAATGTAAAAATATTTACCAATCAATAGTGGACTCTAATCATTTTTGAAATCCTCATTATGCTTATTCTTACAATACTACTTTTTAATTACGCTGAAAGAACTAATCATATCTTTCAAATGCAAATTCACAAACTATTGGAACTCAAAAATTAGTTAGAGAGAATTCATTCTGAGTGGGATTTTATAATGGATAGCAGGTCTGATAAAAAGTAGACAATTAATTATTCTTATAAGCTAGCTTAAAACTACTATTCTACTTTATTGAAGATTAAAACAGCAAAATAATGCAAAAAAGAGTTATATGTAACAATTAAAACTATCGAGTCAATAAGAGAAAGATTAGAAAAAGAACAAGAATATAATCCCATAAGAATTTTGGGAATTCCGATGAGAAGGCAGGTTTTATATACTATTTATTCTGGATTACTGTCATTAGTTATAGCAATGATTTAAAAGAGAACCAACTTTTTCAATTGACAAATCTTCATTGAAATTAGCTTGTAAAATTCTTTTAGTAATTTATAATATTTTTTAATAGATAATTAACTAAATTATATAATATAAAAATTATTGTTTTAAAATCAATCAACATAAAAACTTATATTTCCATTAGACTCTCCGCCAAATGAACAGTTAGATTACAATAGAAACAGATCTTTAATTAAATGAGGTTTAAGAAGAGGAAAAAATAAGGAGTGAGGATTAAGAAGAGGAAAAAATAATGAGTGAAGATTAAGAAGAGCAAAAAATAATGAAAAATGAAATAGATAGTAATCTTTTTAATTGGGTAGAAGGAATAAGTCAATTTGCTTCAATACTAACTAATCCAAAGTTAAAGCCCAAAGCGTAGATGAACTTAGATTAATTTATGCATGTTGATATTCAAATGCTTTAAATAAATGTAGTCAAAGCATTACCTCCAAAAGAATCTGGACTAACTTATACTGTATGTAATATTAAAAATTTAACACAAGATTTAGGTTTATCATATTTAAACATCATTGGGTGAACAAGTGATTGGTGTTTAGAAGAAAAGGTATTCTGACTTCGAATACTTAGCTTAATAAGTATGCATTCTATTATATCTAGCTATAAACTTCTTTAGATCTGAGTTAAATTAAAGCACCTAGAATTTCCTTAAATTCCTACAAGGTTCTAGATAAGATAAAGATAACAGAAAAGATAAACTTATATATAAAATGTTGCTAGACTTTTAATAGAATATGCACAAAAAGGAAAGAAAGTTGACTAAATTCTGGATTTAATCTATGAATTCTTTATCGAGAAAAAGACTGCAATATAACTCAAGAGAGAACATAGCATTAGAATGAATAAAAGATAGTGGTATAGAAAAATTGGAACATTTTTTAGAAAAAATTAAGATAATTTATATCCTTTGGAAGAAGATGAATAGAACAAGGTGACACTTTTTGATTTGCCAATAATTGATCATCTATAAAACTACAGAATTGATGGATTGATATCTAATAGCAATAATACTTTTGGAGATGTTTATTGAGTTATAAGAAATTCAGATCAAAACTTCTTTGCAATGAAGATAATCAAAGAAAAAGCAGAGGAAACCCATTTGAACGAGGTCAACGTTCTCATAAATCTTGATAGTCCTCATGTAGTCAGTCTAGAGGAGACTTTCTTTAACACTAGTTAGCAACTTGTAATCGTAACTGAACTTGCTTATCAGAGTCTTAGATAAACTGTAAGAGAAGTAAGAGAATCCCCTTTGGATGAGGAAGTTATATTAAATTATTTCATCCAAATTTGCCAAGGTCTTTTTGACATGCATTCAAGGAAGTTTATTCATGGAGATCTTAAGCCAGACAATATTCTTATCTTTTTAGATTAAACAGTCAAACTTTGCGATCTTGGATGTGCAATTAATAAGAACTAGCAAAAACAAAATCAAAAATAGTTTGAGGGCACAGGCACAAGAATTTATTGGGCTCCTGAAATAAGATAGACTGGAGCTACTTTTGAGAGTGAAATATTCACACTTGGCTTAGTATTACATGAGCTTATGTATGGCTTTTTACCATCTTAAGACTAGATTATTTTTAGAAGCACAGTTTCTTCACTATACTCTAATGAATTGAACCAACTTTTATTGAAACTGCTCTAAATTGATCCTTTAAGGAGACCAACTATTTTTGAATTATTATCAGATGACTTGCTATTCTATCATTAGCAGAAAAGGGCATTTGATTTAGCAGAAATTTAATTTGAATACGAATATTCAGAGATTTAAGTAAATTGGGTTTATTATCAAAATAAGGACTAATACTTCGGCTAGGTTCATAAAGATTCTCAAATCCCTCATGGATATGGTTTAAAAATAAAAGATAATGATTTAAAGATTATAGGAGTATGGGTAAATGGACTTATAAATGGACCTTTTCTTGTAGTATATGATTAAAATAAGTCTAAAGAGGGAATATGTATTGATGGAGTACCTCACGGAGAAGTACTATATAAAGAAAAAAGATAAGGCCAGATTGCAGAAAATTTCACAAAATAAGATGATGACATGATTCTAGCAGTCAGAGATAATGGAAAAATCATATCAGCATCTGAATACAAAGATTGCCTGCCAAACGGCTAAGTTCTTATATAACATTAGGATTAGATAATTTTCGATGGCTAGTACAAAAATGGTAAAGCTTATGGCAAGGGCATGTAAATAACTTCAAACGGATGTAGGTATGTAGGACACTTTGAAAATGATGTGAAATCTGGCTTTGGCTTATACTACTACTCTAATGGCAATATTCATGCAGGAATGTGGTCTAATAATGAACAAAATGGTTTCGGGAATAGAAGGTATAATGAGGGCTAAATTATTCGAGGGTAATGCATTAACTAGAAATTTACTGGATAATGTACATTGTTAGTATTAAAAGAAACTCCTCGATAAAGCGATGAAATTCTAATGTAAATAAATGAGTTGTCATTAAAGCCGATAGAAGAGCAACTAAACCCAGAAGCACTTAGCAAAATCTTTAAATTTGAGAGTCCTTATCATTTAAAATTCAGTGGTGATTTTGTCAAGGACAAATTTACTGGTCTTGGTGAGATGTCAAATGACAAAGGTGAGAAATGGGTAGGAGAATTTGAGAATTTTAAGTAAAATGGCTTTTGTTCATATCAAAAAGATGATGTTGTCTATTTCTAAGGCTATTGGAAAGATGGCTAATTTGTAGAGGAAACCAATTTTTAAAATGATTATTATAGACGATGATATATTTGACGAATTACTAAAAAATAAATAACTTACGTTAGTATAATTTTTAATTTTTATTTTCATTTGAAATTTTTATTTGATGGGGTTTTGGGGTTTTGGGG